TAGTAAAGATAGGGTTTCACCATGTTGGCCAGGCTAGTCTCGAACTCCTGACCTCAAGTGATCCTCCCATCTCGTCCTCCCAAAGTTCTGGGATTACAGGTGTGAGTCACTGCGCCTGGCCCAAGTATTGTCCATTTCTGGCAATAGTTCAAAATGGCAGTGCCCAATGGCAGTAAGTGCCTGATTTGAAAAGCAGTAGCAGCAGTAGCGATGCGGTGGAGGTGGCGTGATGCTGCGAGGCGGCAAAGCCGGCCTGGGGCTTGGAGCAACGGCCGCACGGGGCAGTGAAGCCAAGAGCCGGTGCTGCAAATAACCAGTTGTCAACCTCCCAACCGAGCCTTAGGCCTAAGATGGGTGAGCATGAACAAGACGGCAACGAGCTTCAGACCACCCCGGAATTCCGAGCCCACGTAGCCAAGAAGCTGGGAGCCCTGCTGGACAGCTTCATTACCGTCTCAGAAGTAGCAAAGGAGCCAACAAAAGCTCAGGTACAGAAAGTCGCTTCAGAGGATGATGGTTTCCGCTTTTTCTTCACGTCTGTCCCTGGAGGCCGTAAGAAGGAAGAGTCGCCCCAACCCCGCCGAAAGCGCCCGCCCTCCAGCTCCAGTGAGGATAGCGACGAGGAGTGGCGGCGGTGCCGGGAGGCAGCTGTGTCGGCGTGGGACATCCTGCAGGAGTCAGCCATCCACGGCGCTGGCACGGTGGAGAAGGAGGCCAAGAAGAAAAGGAAGTCGAAAAAGAAAGCCAAGAAGGTGGCGGTAGTAGTCACCACCACCGCCCCCAGCGCGGCCACGGTCCAGAAGCAGAAGTCAGGTGAGCTCACCGGGGACCAGGTGTCGCTTGGAATCAAAAAGAAGAAAAAGGCAAAGAAGGCCAGTGAGGCCTCTCCATTCCCACCAGCAAAGAGTGCCACAGCGGTGCCTGCAAACTGAACCCAGCTGTGGGCACAGGGCTCGGCTCCAACAACAGGGTGCCCTGGGGACAAGGCATTTTCAAGCCCTACCTCCCTCTCCAAGTTCAAGGACTGGGCTGGCAAGTCTAGACTGCCCATAAGACCCTGTTGGTGATGAGGGCTTGCCCGAGATTCGGGCCAAAAAAGTGGCTGTGGGTTCGAGGCCTGCCCGTCTGTGCTCCCATGGGGGGTTGCGGAGTGGCGGCGGGGGGGGGGGGGGGGGGGGGGGGGGGGGGGGGGCGTGCTGTGGTTCCAGAACATTGCATGGCCTCAGGAAAAGGAGCCTTCCGGTTACTTGAGACTAGTGGCCAAGTGGTGAAACCTCTTGTCTCCCTAGAACTGTCTGAGGTGGGCAGGGGAAGGGAGACCTCCTCCTCCACCACCTCTTTAGCCTGTCGTGAGAAACCATTTTTAGAAAATGAGAGAAGGGATCCCAAGATGCCAAGGCCCAGAGAAACTTCTGTTCTTCTCCCCTTAGCCCACATAGACTTCACAGAAGTGTCTGAGAAAGGAAAGATTTTTTTCACCCCTGGCTTTCTAGAATTTCTGTTGTCTGCATTTGTGAATATACCACACATGATGGTGTCTCTGAGCCGGCCAGATTATGGAAACTCAATTGTCAGGGGACCCAAACAAAACTGAGAGTGAGTTGAGTATTGCCTCTCTAAGTGCTGAACCTTAAGACACTTTGAATAAACATCCTTTTCCTCTCTCCAAAAAAAAAAAAGTATTGTCCATTTTTTTTTTTTTTTTAGACGGAGTCTCGCTCTTGTTACCCAGGCTGGAGTGCAATGGCGTGATCTCGGCTCACCGCAACCTCCGCCTCCTGGGTTCAGGCAATTCTCCTGC